GGGGTCGATACCCAGGTATTATTGTCCCGGCCAGATACAACACGGTAGGGCTACCTTTCGGCCTTTGTTTCGGAGGATTAAAGGACGCCGACCCGACCCTGATCAAGATAGGATATACCTTCGCGCAAGCTACTAAGATCAGGAAGCCTCCTTCGTTGAAGTACTGAAGTTCATTAGTGATGACCATTAAGCTTGGTAGAAACAATAGGGTTATCCACCCGTGTCAAATTTGGTTCAGCGAAGACCATGCTTAATGGTTCATGTACCCTACGTCAATTATAGTCAAATCTTAAATTCTTTCATTCTACGAACTGAGGATAACATTTACATATTTTATAAATATTATAATATATTAAATAATAATAATAATAATCGAATAGTATAATTACTCATGTAATTATACAAATCATCATTCTTGTCCTTAAAAAATAGAGAAACGTATAATTAGAGCCTTTAATTACATTAATCGAGCGGAACTCATAAATCAAAATATCCCTCATCTATATAATTACATGTAATTACATTCAATTTCTATTTGATTTTCCGAACACACTTCTCATATATATGATTAATTTTTAATTTTTAATAATATAATTATTAAAAAATAAGACAAGATAAAATTTATAAATACAGAACAAGTTCTTAAATTCTATGCATCCTTGAACTTCTTTTAACACTACAACAAACCTAAAGGAAAAGCGCCACAGAAACCTAACATGGTAGGATTATTCTTAGAAGTTAGAAATACTATATTATTGGATTCGAAAGTGGATATTATATTTAAAAATAATCTTTTATATATATTGGAAATATATACAAATATCAAACATGAATTTTTATGCTGAATAGTTACAAAATGATATTCGTTTAGAATCTTTTTAACCATTAACAACACACACCATAAAGACGCAGCTGTTCGAATCCAGAATCTCTAGGAGAACAACATTCCCTCTTACCACGGGGTTACTTGATGAATTTTAAACATAAATTTTTAAAAGAATAAAAAAATATAATTAAAAAATAAATGTTGCACCAAATAACGTGAATAATTTATTCTAATTAATTATCCAATGATTAATGATAATGAGAGTGCATAAAGTTTGATGGGAAAATGATAATTGATGCCAATCATTGAAAACCTCTGCTCATTCTATCATATAAATTAAAAAAGAGAGAAGGCATTGTTAATTCACATATCAAAAGGCATAAAAGAAGGTTGGTGCATCTTATTAGTATATAAAATAGGTTAATTAAACACTAAGGTATGGAATCAGAATTGAAGTTAGCTGAGATTACTAGAATGATTGATCCCAAAACACAGCCGTTTCACAGCTCAACAATTTGACAATTTTCATTCACACCATATTATCTCAATTGCTTTCAATTCTGCTCACCCAAACAGTGCTACTAACAATAATAATATATATAGAGTCAAAATAATTTTGGATCATATCAATTTGGATTTTTAAAATTTTACTCACCATTTATATTAGAGGCCAGTCTTGAATTCAAATCATTTCGTGTTTGAATTATTTTAAATTTTACTTATCAATTTGGGTCGTGTTTGAAGATTTAATAAAAATAGGTGTTTCTCTTTAATAAAAAATTCTTTAGGTATCAAATCGTATTTTGAGTTATAGTTTAGGCACTAAAAAGTGCATTAAGCCTAACTTTTTATAATAAATCAAAGTTAGAATTTGAGTTCGTGTCTATCAAATTTGATTTTCTAGTCCGAGTATATTTCATATACACACACGTTATTATTATCGGATAAATTTGCAGATATATTAGTTTTTCACCTTAAATAAATAAATTCTTAAGAATTTTGAATAGAAATAGTAGGAAAAATCGAATTCGATAGGCTTTGACCTAATTCAATATGATTGAGTTGTATTTGTTTTATAAAATTTAGGTTTCCGGGTGGGGATGAGTATTCTCTTAATTTTGACCGGGTCAAGTTTAGAGAGAATTCGTCTTGTCCTAGGATAATTACGAAAAATATATTTTTATGTATTTATATTATTAATTAGGTTTTGGTAAAATTATATGTAAAAAATTAACATATAAGGTACTAGAATTATGGTATTAAATAAAAAAATTAATTTAATTTTATGTTATTGAATTGAATAAATTAATATTTATTTAATTATTTTTCTGTTTTGACAAAAGAAATATGAAAAAAATGGAAATTATGCTAAATCGAGTAGGGTTTTAGTTGTCTTTTTAATTAAATTTTTGAACCAATTTAAAATAGATAAAAATATTTTTAAATTCAAATCAAATTTTATTATTATAGTATTTGGATTAAGTTAGAAACTGTTAAAAAAAACCCCACAATCTCTGATTCTGAGGCCCTCCCTTCACGTAAACGAGTTGCTCAATCCAGCGCAACAAAAGGTTTTTTTTTTTTCATGAGAAGATAGTACAAACTTGAATAAATTAATGAATAATGGACAATAAAACAAAGGGTAGAGTACACGAATGGTCCATCAATTATAGTGTGTTGCTTTGTTGAGTCCTCCAATTATTAAAAGTTACAAATAGTCTCCTAACTATAGAACACTACTTTGTTGAGTCCCTCGACTATTAAAAGTTATAAATCGACTATTTATATGTTCCAAACTCATTATTCTTTGTTAAAAAATTAATGATCGTCTGAATTGGATGTAACATGTTGATTGAGATATGATAGAATCACATTTTAATTAATTATGTCTAACGGCACCGTCGTTGCTTTCAAGCATTGGCTCAACGTCATAATGTTTCAAACACTAGCTCGGTGACATAATGTAAACAAAGAATCGATCCACAAAATATAGCTTGAGTAATTTTGAGATTAGATTTTATCATATCCTAGTGAGCAAGTTAATGTCCATCTCAAACGACAGACAATTTTGTAACGAAAAAAGACGAGTTTGAAATATATGAATAGTCGAGTGACTATTTTATAGTTTTTAATAGTTGGGGGACTCAAAAAAGTAACGCCTTATATTCAAGGGATCATTTTGTAACTTTTAATAATTAAGGACTCAATAAAATAACACCCTAAAATAAAATAATAAAAAAACCAGAAATGTGTGTGGATTGTTTCGATTTACAAGTAAACGAGTCTGGTTGACAAATGAGGCAAGCCAAGGCCCTCAATGCAAATACATTATTGGCTCTTTTGGCTTTCGTATGCCATAGCACATGCATCCATTAGATTATATATGCTCAGCTAGGTTAACAGACATTTTCGGTACTCTACCAACATTATCAACTACCATCCATTTTCCACATTTTTTAACGTAATTTTCAGTTGCAATTTAAACTCATTGTTTTTAATTATCGGAATTTAATCTATTAATCGATTAATCCAAATCAGATATTATATAGGCTCATTTATAAAGACGATCTTCTCAACTTAGTTTATTTCATTTGTAATGTCATAATTCGAAGCCTTAAACTTAAAGAATTTAATATATCATTCCATCGGACCTATCGGTGAGAACATATTTTTTAATATTTGATTTGCCAACCTTGCACCGATGTGAAAGTTCCAATGCTATATATAAAAGCCTCAAAGTTTTTGGACGATAACCAATACAAAACATAAACTCGTTGAGGAAGAAAGAAAATGGAAGCAAAGGCATCACCGAAGAGAGAATTCAAGCAGTTGAGAACTCGAAACCAGAAAGCTTTACGAAGCAGTTTGTTGGAAGTCATCGCGAAGGCTAACAATGGCGGTAGCGCCGTCGTTTCTCACGTCGACAACGATGGAGTTTTGAGGGTGAAGATCGTTGTGAGGAAGCAAGATTTGAAACAAATGCTGGGAAAAATTAATGCCGGCTGCCGTGGTAATAAGGTTAGTGCAAATTATCTGTGGCCGCCGCCGCTGTCTGTCGAAGAACGGTTAAACCTTCTTCGAAGAAAACATCTTATGAAAGCATCGAACGCAGCTAAGAAGAGCCGCCATTGTTGGAGTCCTGAGCTTCAAAGCATCCCGGAAGAATGAAGAAGAGATTGGAATATTTGTTTAACTTTAACATGTAGATACTTTAAAACTTTAAGTTCGAGTCTCATTTAACATAATTAAATAATGTGAAAATTTAACTATTTTATTCTGATTTAATTTTCATCATATGATTATAGGTAATTTTTTACTCTGATTTTTAATTTGAGTGTATGTGGTATATGATATTTCAAGTTATATAATTATTGGATGTGTTATTCATGACTGTATTTATAACTCTTCGATAAAAAATTGACATTTTGTGAATTATATTTCAATGTTTGTCTAATTTTTTTCATGTGCATTTGATTGTCATTCTAAAGAGCTTATTTATTTCCTTTGAATTTAGCAACAACACTGCATTGGCTCTGCAATTTGAGAAAGAGGGAGTACAAGTATCTAATTTAATCCGATATAGAGTATTTTTATGCTTTAATGAACAAAGCCCAAACTTATTTTTAAATTAATAAAAGATGGAGTACAAGTATCTAATAAAAGTATTTTCAAAGTTTACTCGTATTTTAAATTTAAGGTAAAGTACATAAACGATCTCCCATTATAGGGTATTACATTGTTGAGTCTCTCGACTATTAAAAATTATAAAATAATCCTCCGACCATAGGACGTCGCTTTGTTGAATCCATCTACTATTAAAATTATAATATGATCACCTGACTATCATAAGTTTCAACTTCATCTTTTTCTGTTAAAAATACTGACAACAATATGAGTTGGACGTTAACATGTTGACTGTGATGATAACAAATAATCTAAAAATTTTAAACGACTATCACATATCAACCAATAAGTTAACATCCAACTCAAATTGTCATCAAATTTTTAACAATAAAAAAATGAATTTGAAACATATCGACCACGTGTCTATATTTGCTTATATGTGAATCACAGCTCCAATACAGTCTGATAATGCACAAACTATACCGACGGTGTTGATGCTGATAAACATCTCTGAAGAACCACAAATTCTGTAGAACAATGACAAGCTCGGACAACGACGACGTTCTTATACTTGATAATTTGAAAGTTTATCCTTAACAGTTGGCTCCAAAGCAGACATACATTGGTCCCACGCCCCATTCCTAAGCATCTGCAACAACATTTATTCACTTGACTCGGTAAATGAACATACTCCAATGCATGCTATAATTATGTATCCTTAAAAATATAAACCACCGAAAAGCACTCAAGTTCCCTTGTTTACTGGATAAATAAAAATGAATAACAGAGAAGAAAAAATCAATCAATAAAAATGAACTAAACAAGAGTTTCACAGCCATAGGGTGGTAACCTATATGATTGCAGAAGAAAAAAGGACCGTTCACAGAAATATAAGACGCAAACAGGACTGCCTACATGTTTGTAACCCTGCAAGACCTGAAAATTTTCATTATGTAGTTCTTCGTTCCTTACTTCCTACAGACAGAAAAAAGTCAAAAGATCAAACTTTAGTTTAACATACACATCCCTAAAAATACATTTAATAACAGAATCCTTACATGCCAACTTGCAATAGCTTTACACATGAAAACAAGTGAACTCAGAGCCCCTGATGGATTTGCCCTGACCTGGAAAAGCGTACATCCAAGAACAGATTAGTTTATTGATTCACTGTTGATTAACATCAATACAAAAACAGATGCATACCACTGCACATAGACCTCGGAAGGCATCCTCTTTTTCAATATCATCTCGTATCCTGACAAAGTTATTTGTCAAATGAATTGACAGAAAGCTTGCTAATAAAGTAGAATTCGGATTCTGCTCTAATGAGTGTATTTAATGGATTGACCCAAACAGGAACTTAGCTATACATCAAACCAACAAGTACAATTGACAAGAACAAATTATACTTACATAGACAAAGCAATACACCATGATTGCATGAAATGCTCCATGTGTAGTAATACAAGATCTGAACAGACCCATGCAAGTCTCCCTAGAGTAATTGCACTATTTTCAACAAGCGACTTGTTGAGCCCCTGCTAATCATTCAGAGATGAGATTATGGAATCAAAATGACTAATACAAGAACTAACATACAACAAATAATTATGCATATACCAGCATGCATGCTAACAGACTTCAACAAAAAGGGAATATTACCTCTGCATGTTGGAGGATCAGAACCAAACACGAGATCACTGACACGACAATTGGAGAAATTTCTTGACGTACCTGAAATTAAAAAGGCGAGTAGTAAAAAATAGGATTCAAAGCACCCAAGGGGGAATCAACTTATGAAGGCATGTCAATAAAACGGTATATAATCTAATTTTAACATGATGCAGAATGCAGAAAATACATACCTTAATTGCTAGCTCGCAGATAGCCCAGCATGCATTATTTGCTACTGAAATGGTTTCCTTTATCTTGGGAGTATTCTGCATTGGACATATACTATGTAAAAATGTAAATATGATAAACGGAAATAAGGAATCCCAAAATGAGTCCTTACCAGTTGCTTTGCTGCTATATCAAGAAACTCAGACAAACGAGGATGCAAATGAACAGGGCACACCTAATCAAAGTCAACATTTGAATACAGTTAACATACACTACCTAAACACTATAAAAATATAATAAGTTTGAAGTTGCTCAGCTAGGACCATGTTTAAGGCTTATCTAATAAGAGATTTGCAAGCTTATTGTCCTTAAAGGAAGAAAGGAGATGTTTTATTCAGTCTATAGCTCTAAACTAGCATAATTGGTGGGTTCATTTTGAACGTACTCTCGCAAGGTCGCCAAGAAGTGCAAAGGCACTTTGTCGAACATTAGATGCATCATCCATGCAACACTGCAGAAGCAAGTTCCTCAAATCGCTCTGTGAAGCCTGCATATAATAGGTCGATGGGAGCAAAACAAACATCACAGGTCACATTGCACGTATCAAAAATTATATAGTTGAGGGAAATATCCAGTTTGCACACTAAATATCAGGAACAAACGGACAAGTCCTCAAAACATAGGTACAATGACAATTAATCTATTAAACATCAAGGAAGGAAGTATAATTTTTTAAGGGATATATGGTATAAGGAAGTTTCCATAAATAATAGTCCATTGGCTCATTACATTCATCCATGTGTTCTCTGCAATTGCCCACTTCAGTTCAAGATACGAAAAAAGGGTGCAAGGAGAAAGCAAGTACCAAACTCTCTATTCCACTACCAAGTCCCGCTGTTAGTCCAGAGAGCAAATCAAGCGCACATACAGTGAACCCCTTATCATACTGAACCCCAGCTGAAACAGGATCAACCTGCAATACAAATTCCATCAATTTCTTCAAAAGACTAAAACTCAAAAAAAGTAAATAGATCACTGAAATAACCATATATGGCGTGAACATTATGCAAAGAGAAAACCAGATTCCATGAATTATCATGCAGTGAAGAAGGGGCTCAGTTGCTTTGACGTTCGGCCACAGGTGGGTGTAACATTACTATGCAAATAGAAAATAAGATTGAAAAACCATGTGGTGGTGTATCAAAAGTACATGCAAAAATTTCACCGTTGGATAATATAGCACATCCATATATTGATTTCTCTCTACATCTATTTTAAGTTTATGCTTCTCAAATCAAATAAATTCAAACATATATTGTTAACGCGACACAAGTTTAAAGGAAAGCACTGTACTTGACATGACATATATCACACAAGGAAATTTCAGATAGTCTTGGCTAAGCGTTTCGATCCCCAAAACCAAGCACATAATAACATGACAGAACAGAACATGAATTAAACAAATAATCAAGGCACTAGTCGATATGCTGCTTGATTGAGTAGATCAATTACAGTGGACAAAATATCTATAAAAGCATCAGTCAACCATGAAGGGGAAAGCACAAATGAACAAATTGAGGTTGGAAAATAAAATCAACCTAAATTGTTGATTAGTAGAGAAGTAAAAGAGAACTCTATAAAATCCTTGGCCAATTGTTGACTCTGGATGATATTTATGCACCTTTGGAATACAGGAGGAGCGAATTGAGAGAACCCAGTACCCAATGCCTGAAAAAGTAAAAAAAATAATCCCAGTGTTAACTTTATTAATAGAGTGTACAGTAATCTTGTTCAAATATATAATCCAATATCATGTTGAAGAATGCTATGGCTCTAATCTGACAGCAGATTAAAAAATCATGCAGATTAGACTGACCCTAAGATTAATAAGAAGTTCAAGTCTGTGCACACTCCCATCTTCTATGTTACAGTATGCAGAGGAAGAAAAAGGCAAACACCATTATGCCAAAAACAACATCCTGAAGGGAAACCTCAGATGCTCAATGAGTAGATTGAAGAAAAACCAGCAACAGATGTAACTAGAACAGAACAGACATTTCGTTTTGTGATTCACCGCCCCAGACCACACAACAAAGGCATACCCCAGAGCCATGCCTTTTTGTAATTATATTATACTTATCATGTTGAAATATCAACCTAGGTACTCCCAATATCATAATTTCAAGTACCTCACATCAAGATCACTGATTGTTTTAACTTATACAGTTGTTCTCTTCTATTTGCAGTACGCATTACAACTCTTATCAGAGGATAGAGTGGACGGTGGGTCAAAGCAGCAAAGGCAACGTAATTACAGCTAGAGCTGGGCATATGGGCTAAGGCCCGCGGGCTACCAGTTTAACCCGTGATCCGTGCGTGCTTCGGGCCTCAAAAATTAAAGACTGTTTAAATTACGGACTTTTTAGCCCGGACCGTTAAATCCGCGGGTTTAATGGGTATAACCGCGGGCTACCCGTTAAACCCGCTAAAGGCCGCTTAATTTAAAATTTATAAAATTTTAGAGAAAATAAACTTAAAGAATTTTATAGAAAAAGAAAATAAATTACTTATAAATATGATGTTACTTATAACTATTGTAGTTCTTAAATTTATTAGGGCGTTTGTCATAATTTTACTGTTGCTTGATATTTTTTTCATTTAAATATACATCATTATCATTTTGGTATTTAAAGTTTTTTTTATTTAATTTTGACCTTTATTTTTTTCATGAAATATGTTATCCATTTTGTTATTTAATTATAAAAAGTCACATGATATTCTAATAATATATCACATGACACGTAATATTTGAACAAATTAATGACTTATATTTTATCAATTTTAGTATAATTGTATCTTTCAAATTTACTCTTATACTGTAAGTATTTTATTTTATATTTTCATATTATGTTTTAGTATTTCTCTAAAGTATCTATAAAATACAATTATTATAAACACTTGACAACTTTCTTGTTAGATTTGTATAATGTTTGACTTTTTTGAATTTTTATGTTTGAATTTCTACTTTCAGACACTTCTTTGTATTCATATTATAGCCTTGAATAATCGTGTTTTATAAAAGTATAATGTGGTTATTGTTTTATTTGTTTTTCAATTTGGTGATATAAGTGAATATTATTTTTTTAATTTGAGTTTAAGTAATTATATCATTATATATATATTAATGATTAAAAAATTAAAAAATATTATTTTATAATCATTTTCGGCTATTTAAAATAAAATTTAAATATTATTTATTATTTTGACAGTGCTACCTTCATTTTCAAGTTGCTCGATCATTTTTAAAGGTAGTAAGTTAAAACATTATTTTTTATTGTATTTAAAACATTTAAAATTATTTTTATTAAACGGGCCGCGGGTAAACTCGTTTAGCCTGCGGGTTAAATGGACGGGCTACGGACCTTAAAATTCAAAACCGTTTATGAATGCGGGCTTTTTAGCCCGCTCTGTTTAAGCCCACACCGTCAAAACCCGCGGGCTAAACGGGCGGGTAGCCCGTATACCACCTCTAATTACAGCCAACTCTATATCAGTTTAAAGCCTCTTCCAAAACACTGTTACATGTAAGTATCAATTTATTGCGGACCTCAGCTAAAATAAAAGGTTAAATACAAACCAAAACATCAAGATTGAAAGACAATAACACATCTGTCCTTAAAAAATTATAAATAAAAAAGTCAGAAAATCGTAAATCATAGTCAAACATCGTAAGAAAATTATCTCCGAATACAAATTACATATCTAAATTTATCTGAGGACCCAAAGTATGGCAGATTAGCATAATAAATAAAGTATTAAACAAAAAAAACAAAAAAATAATAAAACAATTTATAGAAAAGATTGAAAACGTTCTAAAAGGTAGAAAAAAAGTGTACCATGAAAATATGCCATAAAACACAAAAGAACTTTAATCCTTACTTTTTAATTTTAGGATAAAATGATATTTAGTTGGACAGAAATTGTTAGTTAACTAATAGTTAACACTTGGTGTCGTAATAAGTCTTATATGTCTAAAGTGATAATGTGACATAAGTCATATGTATATATACATATGTAAGTGATGAGATAACACATAGTATGTGTTTAATGTGATGACATGACATATGTCACATATACATAAGTGATGTTGTGACATATGTCATGTGTGTGACATATGTCATGTGTACATATGTGATTTTGTGGCATATGATGCATATACATAAGTGATTACGTGACATATAACATGTATGCCTAAATGGTGACGTGATATATGATATATCATCACTTTAAACATTATGGATTTGTCATATCAACTATAGATGTTGATCATTAGTTAATTAACGGTTTTCATCTAATCCATGAATATTTTATTTCTGAAAAATAAAAATTAAAGTGATTATTTTAATTATATAAATTCATTTTATGACGATTAACTATACTTTAAGTTATTCAGATTCATATATATTCGATGTTATTCATATTTAAATAATTCGAATAGACTCAATCAACAATCAGTTGGTCTAGTGAGACAAAGTTAATATATTCTTTAAGCAAAGTCAGATGTTCGAATCCTAACGTTTACGAATGAAGTAAATTGGGTTGGGAGGGTCGCCTCGCCGCGAATGCATTAGCTAAACTATACATGCTGAGAGACTTCTTTATGCGAATGTTTGATATTGTTTTAACCTCAATCCAACCTTCACTCAGACGAGACATTTTAGGTCTTCCATGTGTTAAACTATCTAGTAGTTAGATAAGACTTTCTTCTTTCATTCAAAATAATAAGAAGAAGAAAATGAAGGTTCAAATATCATAAATGATTTTGGCAATGTCCTTCCTCCTCTGTCATGCATTTTCTAGCACAACTTTTAAGGGCCAAATGTCCTGATGCATACACAATCCGTTCCCACACGCTTTTCTTTGGTTTTATGGTTAGAGACAGACATAATTTTATATTCAGCTTACATTCATTGACGTAATGAGTAAAGCTTCTCAAAGTGAAAAATGTGGTTCCGGATCCGGTATAGATGGTAAGTGTAGAGAAATGCGGCCACCGTCACCGCCGAAAACGATACCAAGTTCAACTTCCAGAAATGCTGAAACCCAGAGAATCCTTAATTTGCATCAATCATATAAAGCAAGCAAGCAGGGATGATTATGAACGCTTCTTAATTTGAAGCTAAAATTCTAGGAAGAATTTTACCTGTGGATTGGATATTACTATTCCCATTACATAAGCCATTAAGTCAAAGGTAGACTGCAGTGAGTTTTGAACTCCTCCCACAATGCAACGATCGGATTCAGGAACATGATCCTGTGTTAGCATAAAACAAAATGCAGTAACACCAAAAGAAGAAGAGAGGATTTAATCATATATGGTACCTGCATTTGTTGGATGACGGATAAGTCGAACATCCACAAACCGAGCCTAGAGGTAGCAACTCCGGCCATCAGCATATATGCTGATAACTGGCTGTTTTTGATCCATATTGAAGCCACACATACCAGCAGGCAAGTCCACTGAATCAAACCTCAAAAGACAAATAAGATCTCTTGGTCTGTTTTCTGTATGGAGTATCAAAAAGAACTTAAGTGTACAATGGCTAGTGTTGTTTATACCTGAGACCAGACAGACCATAATCCGGTTCTGAGCGTCGAAATATGAGATTGAAGCACAGGGTACAAAACCGTTGCTGCTATTCCAATTGAAGCACTGATTCCACGAGCTATTCCGATTACATATGCAGGAATCCCTTTCCATTGCAAGACTGCCGTCATCAAAGTCCCGAAACTGAAGAAAATACCATTCACCGAGTCCCAATGTTCAATTACTTACTTTCGTTACTTCTCTGAGTTCAAAGCTCAGACAAAAGTAGAATTCATAAGCACTCACCTTAGGACAGTGAAAAACAACAAAGCTAAAGCAACTCCTGCTAAAACGACATCTTGCTGCAAATATACTTTCCATGCATCGATGTAGGGAACCTTCGAGATCCACTCAATGATTCTCCTTGCAGAGCTTTTGCCAGAGGATGCTGCATTCTCTCCTTCATTTAACAAAGAATTATTTCTTTCTTGAGAAGTTGATATGGTGTCTTCCACTTGATCACTTGGTGAAACTCTTGAAATCAGCCTTCGGCTGCTGTTTATGCCTAAAGCCGGGATCCCATTGTATACCGACATAAAAAGCCAATATTCCACCCATACGGTTATAGTTGTCCACAACGCAAATGCCATAGCGGATGCTTTTAGTGATACGAAGCTGATAATGAGGCCGCTTATAACTGGTGCCACTAACTTGCAGGTTAAGTCAATTCGTCTAATAACCGAGTTCATATCAGTGAGTAAACTAGGAGGATTGCCTTCTGATATTACTACCAACCTGTTATTGAAAAACAAAACAACTTCACTAACCATATTTTACAACTCAAACGGATAGAATTGAAAAAATTGAGATGACAAAAAATATTGAAACACAGAATTTTAGAAAGAAAGAAAGAAAAAAAAACTTTAAATATGAATGGATGGTAGAAAAAAGCATGCTCAATTACCATTCTCTTTCAACCAGGATGGTACCAGCTAATGTTGAAAGCACACCGACAGCTCCAGAGATGTTTGTCAATATCACCAGGGCGATGAAAGCAACGATGTTCGTGAACTTCAGGCTTGGAAATACCAGTAAGGCCATTACTGAACCTCCAGCAATTATGAAGGAGAGATTCTGGGTTACCAACCATAGTTGAAGAACCTGCCAACATAATTTTACATGTTTAGCCACTCTATTTATATAGCAGTTATTCGGAAATCAACAGCAGGTTCAACATGCTCGGTGAAATGAGTTCGTGAAAACCAACAATCAGCAACTTTTTCTTGTTGTTTGATAATTTGATTGGCTTGATGTTCACAAAAAGGGAGATTACATGGAAAGTGGAAACTGAACCTGAAATATTAAATTCAATCTAAAGCAAACCTTTGCATATGTCAGCCTATCCACCCATCGTCCAATGATGGGACCAAATAAAGCAGAAGAGGATGATTCCACAACACCATAGATAGCAACAAGGAGTAAAGAATCAGGCCAAACACTGATCATATATAAACCCACAGAGAATTCCCACATTCTGCAAACAATGAAAAGAACTCAAATTAATGAATCAAACAATAGTTCCTCTATAGTGGGTGTAATAATTGATATAAACAATACAAAAAATCAGTGACCGCTGAAGAAATTAGGAAATCAAGAGTTCGTTTTAGTCATGAAAAATCAATATGAAAGAAAGCCTTTTTTTAAAACGGGTTTTAAATCTATATCGTGAAAATCAATAAAGAAATGAAAGAGGAACCTGGCGCCCCATCTAGCAAGGAAATGAGCAGAGTATAGGTAGTTGAGAAGAAATGAAGGCGGAAGTAGTTGTCTTTGGTGATAAGGAAGCAAGGTTGTTGTATCCATTGACGATCATATGTATAAATTTGCATCAGTTGCTTGTTCTTATCATCTTTTTTCCTTCTGGGATTGAAGGAATTTCCTAATACCATAGGGATAAATGTACGCATTGATGATTATTAAATGGATTAATGAATACAACAGTAGGCGATGGTGTGGTTGCTGAATTAGTCAAACGCTGATCTGAGATCATAGACTTCTTAGTAAATTATTAATACTATCAATTTGACAACGCACCAATGAAATCTGAATATATCATATTCAAAACAATCTATAATATACATATATACAATCTATTGAGTTTTCGTCTGGGGAGAATCTTTTTGTTTTTTTCCTTCAGAGGACAGAGGGAAAATGATACTAAAATGTAAAAATCCCATCAATGCATCCGCCATGGAGTGAAATTGTAGGTTAAATTCTAATTTTTGTCCCTCTACTATGCTCAAATTTGTGATATAAATGTTATTTATTTTTAGGCTTAATATAAAAATAAGTGTTCAAACTATATCATTTTTCTTATTTAGGCGCCTTAATTTTTTTTGGTCAACATAGGTGTCTAATGTTACAAACGTTGTCATTTTAAATACCTTGGTCGTAACAGCCACTAAAAAGTCTGTTAAGTGATACATATCATATTTATAGAATTTTGAAAATTTTATTTAAAATAAAAAATTAAAATTATATATATTTTTTTAAAAACCCTCAAAATTTTCTCAAATCTTAAAAAAATTCCAAAACATTAAAATTTTTAATTTCAAACCCCTAATACCGGCCATTATCGTTGCCGCCATGGTCCTGGTCGCCGCCATCGACGAACAGCCACCCCAGTAATCGGTCGTCATCCAAAAACCCTAAATTCTTAAACTTAAATCCTTAAATCCCTAAAATTCAAAGTATTCAAATCCCTAAAAATATCTTGAATCATTTTGATCGAATGCTTGGCCGACCAAAACAATAAGACAATATCTGCAATCTTTTGCAAAATGGGGGGAAGGGGATGTTGGAGAAAAAGTGGAGGGGGAAGAGGTGTCACTTAACAGATTTTTTTAACGGTTGTTATAATCAAGACTCTTAAAATGATAATGTTTGTAATGTTGGACAATCATATTGACAAAAAAATAATTTAGACATCTATATAAAAAAATTGTACAAATTAGATATTTTTTATATTAAGCCTTATTTTTATAAGGACTGCCCTCATTAATTATTTATGTGGATGTTTTTCTTAATAACACACATCATGCTATCATATTATATAATTTATTTTGTGTTTTAAGTTTTTGAGGGGGAAAACAATATTAGCATCTTAATCGAAATAGTTAATCGTAATTTTTCATACTTTTGAGAAAAACTAAAATAATTAACTGTTTAATCTAACTAAAGACGTTATAGAAATAGAAGATCAAATTATACAATACAAGAACTAAATCTTAAATTTGTATATAGTGCTTTTATAAAGCTAATTTCCCAAGTAAAATATTATATATGTTTTCTCTTTGGATAAAATACACAAATGAATTCTGAGGACCAGACTGCTATGGACCAGGTGTGATGCAGGGGATCCGAGACAGATGATGCTGAGCTGTCAGATTGCACGTTGATGGCGCTGAGATACCATGAGTTGGCAGATCAGCGCAAAGGCGGGAATTGATTGTGACATGTTCCTCATTGGGGTCGTTTTGAGTATGTTTCAGTCTTTTGGCCATAACTTTGGCTACAGGTGTCAGAATCGCGCATAAGATCCCAATCCGGAAAGCTATTTTCGACGCCATGTGGCCTTTTTTTCAACCTCAAATTCTGCCGTTTTCCCCTCCGAATCACTAGATTTAGTTATTTTTTACTATTTATGGTATATTTCGATTGTTAATTAGGAAGTCAATTTAAATCCGATTTAGACCGGATTTTTGGGAGATTGCTTATTTTATTTCGAATTTCAATTTTGAGTGATTTTCGGGATTTTGCTATTTTTGGCAAAATTCGAATAAAGACGATTTTTTTGCTATAACAGTCCGGCTTGTGGACTGCTTTTTGGATGTTTTTGATTTTATAATATTTTATTAAACCCTAGAGATTTTTTTTCTCTGGTTTTTGGGCGAATTTTCTCTTGTAAATCGTCTGTCGGAGCTAGCCTACAGGATAATCACTATTCTGTCTGGCGTCAAGGTGCCACGGATGAATTAGCACTGTTCTTCAAGCCTTTTCTTCATCATTTTTGTTGTTTTTCAGCAGCCTGGTCAGAATCAGAATCAAGTGAGACACCAAAAGAAAAGAAATTCAACAAGAGGACGATAGTTAAATATATAACACATGGCCGGTTTAAGAGGTACAACCAGCAATGGATTGTGTAGATCCCCAGTAACACTTCCTGTAGCAGCAATCTCCAAAGAAAAAAATAATAAAATAGAAGTTCAAGAAGAAAATAGAACAACAAAAATAAAATAAAATCACACAAAAGAACTTCACTTACAGCTGCTTCTCTAGTAGCCATGACTACTAGAGCAGACCCTTTTTTCTTTGAGCTTTTAATTACAATATCCTCCACATCTCCAAATCTGGAAAACAATTGCCTTAGCTTCTCCCAACCTTGTCTTGATTCAAGCCCAAACCCCAGCCTGCTCGCACCTTTATTTGCGTGCATCGCACGTATCCTCGCAATCTCCTCTTTCAATTCTCTCTTCTTCCTTTTTAGCCATCATGACAGGATCTGGAGCGAAAGAAGCACATTCTCTATCTTCTAAATCCGACATCATTTTCCTTCTCTTTGAGTCTTGCTGAGCAAAACGACGTTGCTGTTCAAGTTTCACCCGAAGGAGATCATCAAAGAGCTTGCGGGCTTTTTCATCAACAAGAATTTCGTACGAGGATTTGAGCTTTATGAAATTTTCATGGGCATTAAGATCATCTTTTCGTTTATCAGGATGAATATCACGGGCTTTTTCTCTATAAGCCTTGGTACTTTCTTTTGCCGTCAAATTGACTCCTTCCTCACCAGAAGGTAAACCCAGGACGCTGTAATGGTCAACTTCCATAGCTGAATCTAATTCAAAGGAAATGAAATCAGTAAAGTGTTTCAAAGATGAATCTAATTTCAAACAAAATACAAGTCGGTAACAACATTTCAACTAGTGGAAGTACAGCTATGCTTTGGCCTCTATTTCGCTGTTACAGTGCCTTCAGCCACCCACTAAAGACCGCAATAGCAGTGTGAACAAATTTCACATCAATAGCAGCACGTTAGTTTAGCATGCATCATGGATATCTTTAAAATTAGGCATACTATCATGCTATTGAATTCTTAAGAACTTTGCAGCCCTGTGAATGAAAGAGAGGAGAATACAATTACTTTACATTTATGGGTTTTGGTAAAGTGTGGCCAAATTAAGATACTCTTTAAAATTGGTTAATTTTCTGTTTATAGTAATAATTTTATGTTGAATGCAATAGTTGATAACTTTATTGATGATTGCCGATAAACTGAGTAAAGATATTACTTAAAAGCATGCATAACGATCCTTGGATATAAACCTGAAAGGAATTATTCGATCGAGAACCATCCTGGTTGATTTGTTTTCTCCTGAGCTATGTGAAGCTTGCATTATGATCTGACGTAGAAACAGTTGGATTGAATCATTTCCTATTGGTAGATACTTATGGCGTGATAAGCATACTTATGCGATAGCTCAGCACAAACATCATAGGAGCATATATGAGGAGGCTGATGCAAACAAGCGGAGAAAGCGATATGCCAGACCTCTTATTGATCTGCAGATGATGATATATTACCATGAAGGAATGGAGCCATGGAGTTTGAAGAAAAATACTATAAGCGGTATGAAGGGATACACATTTTTCTTACATGAAATCTAAAGTATAGCCTCTTTTATTTGTTCATCTGAGTTCATAAAGAATGTGTAGTATTGGGGCAATAGTTCTGTCAATGCAAGCTAATATTTTTTGATAACCAAATGCATATGTGCCTGAGGGAGCCATAATCATAAGGGAACATATTGCACTCAATAATTTGTTCAACTGCTTGTGCTTCAACGAGGTCATTCTCTTCACACCAAGAGACCAGCTGAGCTTCGGCTACGTTGTTTACAGGTTAAGGGGCTTGTTTAAGTTCTTTATGTTCCGGAATTGCGAGTGCTATTCACTTTTCGTCTTGCACCCACATACTCGGGAGCATTCTTCTAAAGTAGAGTGGGTTAAGAATTTGAGCGAGTTTAAGGGAAGCGGTAGTAGCATGAAAGAGAGTGGAGGAGAATTCGGCTTGTGGACTCCATATCCGAAGATCCTTGATTCGGTTATCATACCACCGGTGGTAAGAATGTCAAAAGCAGGCTGAGGTTTTCTCAGTAGCTATCTCGAATTGTCTTTCAAGCTTGAAACGATTATCGAATTATATCTTTTATGGATCCATCACTGCTTAAGACGGATGGCCTTGTATAAATCACTGTATGATGATTGAGAACACTGCAATAAGCGAGTGAAATAAGTACATAGGTCCATGCAAGTTAGAAAAGGAAGTAAATTAATTATTTTTTTAACAGAGAGATAAAAATGATCATTTTGCTTGTTTTTCTATGTTCATTTTGAAAAAGTATAGGATCAAAATGAGTCTCGTGTATGGTACAGGGACTCATAGGAGTATTTTTACCAAAAACCGAAGAGGAAGTTACAAAAGTTGCACGAATTAATAGGTCTCCACAGAAAAGAAACATCCCGTTATTAGTATTACATTGACCTTATTTTCTGTTGTCTGGAAAATATCAGAGCTTTTCTGTTGTTTTTGTTCGAAAATGGCTGCATCCACAGTCTCCGTCCGGCCTAAACGTCTCAGTCCCAGCTCCCCCATTCCCAGATCGGCAGTGTGCACTGCTCCCTAACTAGGAGCGAACAAGACTACTTGAAAAAATTAAAATTTTCAATTCGACTTGTTATAAATAGAACTCGAATAACTCAAAAGTTAAGAATTAGTGAGTTGACTTTCAAAATCAATTTGAATCCCTCGGTTATACATTAGAACGAAAACATGGAAACATAACTAAATTTACCTAAGCGAGCTGATGACACATGATATGCAATAATATACAAGTAGAAACTATATCAAACTCATTACACCTAAGATTCTAAAAAACCTCTTAGCTTAGCTGTGTCATCTGCTACCATTTTCTTCAACCCGGGAGCCCTCGATATACGACATATTCCCCACTTTTTCAGCATTTTCACTTAGAGTCACGAGTTCATTGTAGATTTTCATAGAAGCCTGGGAGAATTCAATTAAGGACTCGAAAACAATTAGAAAATCCAGTCTGAACCCCATTCAATGTGATTCTCTGTGTTTCTTGCATGTAATTGTGGTGTTTCTCCCTTTCTACATCCAACATCTTCTTCATCATATCCAACTGATCTTTCTTGAACCTGGTTTCTGCTTCTGGTATGCCATGGTCCTTCTATCAAGTTTTTTTGCCATACCATCAATTTTCCTCTTCTGTTGCTGTTCTCACAGTTCCTTCACGTCCTTAGAAAAACTTTTCAATGAAAAGGTGACCGCCTTATCCGGTAGCTCCTCCATGGAAGCTAACCAATGATAACATATCACAAGAAGTGGAGGCCCATTACCTCCATGTGGTGCACCAGAGCTCCTCCCCCTGGAATAAAATTCAACTTCAGGAACCAAGAACTTAGTTAGCCAACCATGAAGAGCTTGAATGTATGCTCTTTGAGATGCAACATACTCGGTAAAGCAAGTACGCCAATTTCGAAGCTCGGCTTCAAGTTGAAGCGTAGCAAGTCGGTGAGTATCTTTGTAGAACTTTCCAAACGAAGGGCAGGCGAATGATTTCACTTCAGAAAATATTTTGTTTTGGGTTTCATGAGATTCAAGCATAACTTTCCAGGTTCGTGTTAGGCTGCATCAAAGGAAAGGTTGAATCAAAATCCGAAGTTTAGATGAAAATGTTGATTTTATGAAGATTCTTTTACCTACCCTTTTAACAGTTCAATAATTTGAGGCAGTAGTTCTTCATCTCTGAGTTTCTGAATTCTCTTCGAGATTGATTCGGCACTTCGAATCGCAATCAAGATTTGGGCATACAAATCCTTTACTGCAGCTCTGGTTTTATCCATTGTAAGCTCATCATATCCCTTAACATCCTGGGTTCTTAGTCGAGAACATTTTCTCTCGTCAATTTTCCTTGTGCTATCACCTGCCTAGTGAAATACTTGACTAATTATGTTTGAATATGTGTTAGAACACGAGCACTATTAAGAACTTAAAAAGAAGCCTGAGTTATTACTACTTCACCCATTACCTAAAACCCAGAATTCTTTGTAAGAACAAACCATTAACTTCACAAAAATTAAGATTAATTGCTACTTTTTTACCTTAACTTCATCGTAAAGATTCTTTTCCCAAGCATAAAGTCTTCCTAGTGTTAATGAATGACTCCCTGAATCCATTCCTCCATATTGATCAGAAAGATCAGTCTTATATTCTGTCCATGTTGAACTTTTTGAACCGGATGCCACAAGACTTACATGATTGAGGCTTAGACAAAGTGGACCGATGCCATGTAACAGCCTGGATGATTTTAGTTGAGTTCTCTGCAAGAAAATTTGCAGAGCCATTGATTACTTGTTACAATATGGACATTAAGACCATCAAATAATGCTAAGGACCATGCTATTCGAACTCGCAATGAGTAGGATGGGACACGGGTATGTTAGACCCACATGTGCAAATGCAGGGCATGAAGACTCAAAGATTTTGAACAAAAAAAGCTAGCCTGAGATTACCCCTTCCCCCTTTTCTCCTCATTTCTGGAAAAATACTCATAAACTGGAGGTGAACCTACAAGTTTCAAGCAGAATGTAACTTCAAATGTAAACTTGAACAGTTTTTGTTGAACAAGAAAAAACTAACTAAACATACATTATTAAAGCTTGAGTAAAGCTCATATTCACCTTTAATTCCCACCAAACCAGACTGCAAATGAACCATATTAGCTTCCAACATTCTTGACACATCTTTACCAGAATCATAAGCCCTGATGAAATAATCCTCAATATCTTCCAAGGTTTCTAAAAGTTCCCTCCCTTTATATGGGCTATCAATCACTGTGATCCTTTTTTGTTCTCCTTGGCTCACATGCGTCTGTTCCTTCACTTTCAACAGACCACTTTCAATCTCCTCATGCTCCCTCTTACTATCTTTCTCTTCAACAATGACAACTTTCTTCTCTTCCTCTTTTGTGTCCCCTTCCTCTTCTAGCTTCGGTATCCCTTCCTGTTCCCTCACCGTTCTTTAAGTATCCTCGGAACACCTGTTGTATCCACTTATAATCTCCGGTCCAGCAGCATAAACGGATTAAAAAAGTCCCAGCCAAAATCCCTTTGCGGTGATGGCATTGGTGGTGGCATTTGCATATAAAAGTACCCACAAAGTTGTTATTGTTGTTGTTCTTCTTCTTCTTCTTCTTCTCTTACCACCTCTTGTTCAGTCACTTCCTCTGAAAATCCAGAGCTTGTTGAAGAACCACAAAACTCACAAGCAATGGCTTCATGGGTGGTCGACTCTAAAGGTCTTTGATGAAGCAACATTGGGTTGGTCATCACGTTTAAGTCCGTGGCCGGTGGCGTAGGCGGACAAGGTGGAGGAAAAGTGATGAGAAAAGGTGAAGCAGGTGAAGAATGGCGAGCTACAAAGAACTTAAAGGCAGCTGACACCGCATAAAGAGCCTGACCGTACCTAAAATGTGCTTCTGCAAGTGCATATCTTCTATCTACAGCTAACATTATAAGGCGTTTCCTTTCTCTACAAATTGACACAACCTCTTCTTCTTCCTCTAGTTTTGAAGCAACACTACCCATTTCCCTTTGCTAAAGCCTGGGGAGTGGGGAGTGTTTTGCTTTTCTTCTTTTTTTCTCCTGGTTTCAATAGGCGTAGAAGCTACTAACTTTTGAATATATGGAGATAGGGTAAAGAAAGGTAATCTTTTGTAGGAATCTAAGCAATCTTTTCTGATAAAAAGGACGGGCTCTAACAAAAATGGAAGAAAAAGAATTGAGTTGGATTTTTTCAGGGTTTTGAAACAGGGAAAAATGTAGCTTTATGAGGAGTTTTAGAACCCGCTGAAGTACTGTAATCTAAATATAAATGCATTTGTTAAGATTAGTTGCTTTATTAACACTTATTAGCAAAGCTTAAACCATGTTTAGTTTTGGATAATAGATAACTGTAATGAAGAGAAAGGGCAAGTAGAACAGTAAATGGCAGAGTTAAATGGGCACTGGAAAGAGATTAGAGTCGGTAAGGTAAAGTAAACAAGGTAGGGGCTCGAGAAGGGGGGAGAGAGAGAGAGAGATTGGTGTAAAACAATGGCAAAACCACTCTCTATTTTATCTTTTTCAGGGCAATAAAAACATTAAAAATATATTATTATTTCCATTTTAAGCAGACATATTTCCTTTGGGCAGTCTGGTGAGTTAAAAAGAACAGTTGATGGATAGTGACCACACCACTGCAAACACCCCAGACAGCCAGAGAAGGTAAGAGAGTTCTGTCTTTTGCTTAGATGTATGTACTGGATGAATCTTTTTCGTATTATATAATGTTTTATGTTAGATTCTGTATTATATTAAGCTTATATTAAGTCTTTAATGAGTTATTAAGCGGGGGGGATTTACAAAAGCAGAAGATTTAAGCTTGACTGTACTTGTCTTTACTGCTACTGACAAATCTCTTTAACAAAGATTGTTTTCTTGGCAATTGGTGAAAAACATTATATTTTTTTGCAAGGATTTAGAGTTCTGAGTGGTGATGCTTTAGAAAAAGAAGGTTCTTGTTTGGTCCATAAATGAATAATGTTATGCCAAAAAACTACTGAGAAATCCACATTAAGTTGCGGGTTATAATTAGCCTGTGTTATACAAAGGTGTCATCACCTTCACTCTCTCTTTTTTTTGGTGAAGAAAAAAAAAGAATCCTCTTACATGTGTTGGCACATATAATGTACTTCACAAAATATAAAGATGAGATTATTGGATTTCAGTTTGGGAAAACAAAAGAAAGTACAGATGACAATGTTGCTGACATTTCAAGTCAGTATATATTGTTGTTAGCACAATCCTAACACAAACTCTTTGTAACTCACTTTTCATTTGGTTTTTTTGTCACCCACTGCTATTGACATTGCATTGAGGGAGCAGTTGTAAATGTTGTGGGTATCAAAATTCGACTCTATTACTTGATTTGGTACTAAAAACCTTACTCAACTCGATCCGACTTAACTAATTAAAAAAAATTATTTGACTCCACTTATCAAATACCCTTTACATATGCAAAGGAATTCATGTTAGTGGTGTTTTGGTGGGTTTTGCTTAGTTTATTGATTGATTCTGAGGATTGAGGCTCAATGGCTTTGAGAATGGAGTCATGGTGTAGGGTTGGGGAAGACAAATATAATGATGGGAAAGGGGCTATTTGGTGTGGGTTTAGCGAGAATATGGCTTGACACAATCTGACAAATGTTATTCCCACCTCGGGAATTGCCTACTTCCTCCATTTGCCCCATAAAATATTGTATTCTACCTTGGAATACAACAAGAAATCAAAATACCTAACGACACTATTCAAACAGAGAGTTGAAGGCTTCTTTGTTTCTTCTTTCTGTGGAGAAGATAGTTAAAAGTATTATACAAACTCAACCTGGTTTCAGTTCATGTCCCAACCACCATTATTTTATAGCGTTAATATAAACTAATGAGATGTTATGTTTTAAAGGATGATTATATGAATTAATATATATATAATATTGTTTAACAGGACAGGTTACAAAATGAGCCATTTTGAAGCATTAGGAAACCTGACATGAAACATGAAGTTGTTCTTCACTGATCAGTGCGTACAACAAGCCAGGGCTTTTACATAATCATTGATGGAAAGCTTGAGAGCCCGACATTCAAGTTGTTCAACAGTGTACTAATAAATGCACCAGATGAAGAACAAAAACAGACTATTACATAGACTTTTAAGGGAACTATTCTCAGGTAAATTCAAACTATACTCATCATCACCTTGTATTCCTTTCTAGTTCTCTTTTGAGTGTTTCGACACGGATGCGAAATGCAAATTGTACTAGTTTCTAGTTAAAAGTTACAAGTGTACATTAAAGAATCGAAGGCTTATTCCTTTTGTCACTTTCCGGCATCATCAGGTACTGCCGACTTCGGTTGGCATGGCACCAGGAGCTAGTGTACTAGGAGGCAAGGTAACTACTCTGCCTCGAACAGATAGATTAGGAGCCTTAATGGAGGTAGCCTTGCTCACGAGGTTTGAGTTAAGAAACACCACGATTACTGTTATGTCATCGTGGAAATGGCGACGGACGCCGCGGTCTATCTTCTTCAGGTCAGAATACCTCATTTCTCTCTTCTTTGCTGCCTCTTGTAGAGCAGTTTTTACCAACCTCTTTGCAATTCCCTGCAAGTAGACCAAAGCCAATAAAATGTTAATTTTTTCTGTTCTTTCGGAATCCTTATTTTAGGATGAAATTCTATATTCTATAATCAAATGAAAGTTTCAGAGGGATAAGAGAAAAGATTACAGTTCATGACATTAAACATTGAGGCGGAAACTTACACTTCGTGGATGATTCTGAACTATGCCAACAGCTTCTTGATTGCTTAGGTGCTCCCAGAGCCCATCAGACGCAAATATCACAAACTGATCATGTGGCTGCAGCTGGTGCACTAATATCGATGGATCTGCACTCAATATTGGCTTTTTGAAAGGTTCGCGGAGGCGGAATTTAGGATATAAAGGCTCTCTGTTGAACTCGGCCTTTTTCAAATATATATCACCAATAGATCTGGAAATCTGAAAGGTTGAGAATTCTATCAATAAAATTCTCAAGAAAAAGAAAAGGGAGGGCATAACATACTATGGAAAACCATATCAACAAAATTACAACTCTGAACTGCTAGACAGAGAGCATGCACTAAACTTTAGATCGCAAAGCTTTTCGGCAGCAGCCGATAGCACGATTTTTCACCTTCCATCATCTTTCTTAATTACCAATATTCTCATAGTCATAAATATTTCTTATTTCCTTTTCATCTTTTAGCTTTACAGAAAACCCAAGCATCCAACCGGAGTCGAAAATTATAATCGGTAATTCTTTCCCTCGATAGCTCCACCCTGTATCTATATATAGGAAGAGAAGATACCATGCAGCATTTATAATCTTTCTAAAGATCAAAACCCTTCATTCGCTTGAACATTGTCCTCGACTTGTAATCATAAAAATACATTTTCGCTCCAAAAACACTAAGGACATGCTTTTATTTCTTCTTTGAAAAGCATAAGCACATAAAAACTTTCCCAGGTTCATGCTTCTTCCCTAATCATGTATAATAGAATAAACTTTTCAAAAATTTATAACTAGCATACTCGATATTTCTCAACTTGAACAAGAACTGGTTCGAGCTCTCTATGAGTCTGCAGCACAGATAAACAAAACTAATACTTGCTCCTTTGTTTATACGGTTATTCTTGTAGAAAAATGAGATGTAAGCTTCAGATAAGAAGCGAGTCTTATTTCATCTTTTTTCTACCTAACCACTTATGACAGCTATGAAAATAGTATCGCAGTTTACAAGTTGATGTTATTACCTAAACGATATTAGCAGTTAATTACTCAAAATAAAAATCGTTACCACTTAACATAGTGAAACTTACCTGTATGATACCTTTTACACGCCACACATCGTGCTTCAAGACTACAATTTGTGGGTCATCAGGGTGCAATGATTGCAGCTCCTGTCTCACAGACTCTATGCACGCATTATGCTCGGCTGAGAGCTGAATGGCTAGAACCTCTCCTGTTGCTTTCACAGCTCTACCCAAAACAGCACGTGAGTCACCGAGGTTGGCGACATAAAGGGTTCCACCACAGATAACACCAGTCAGGCAACAGGATCCAACAGCTGCAATTTGTGGTTTCATAGGCCACTGTTTGGTAACAAGAGACAAAAAACCCTCTTCTGTTGCTTGATACGCTTTTCGTATTACATCAGCTGACATCATCTGTTGCTCTGATGTGAACCCTGATCATAACAAATTTTACAGAATAACAAACATCATCAGCAAAAAAGTGCAAGATAAAACTATCAAAGATAAAATTGGCCTCTACAGCTATAAGTAAGCAGTGAGACACAAAATAACAAAAGGACAATGAGGACAAGAAACCATATCCAGGGCTGCAACAAGTTCACCAAGTAATTCCTTCAATCATTTCATCATATCCAAAACAACTGCCTATTGAATATTTCTTTCATCTACTTAATCGGTACATAGAGCTTAACACGAATTTGACCTAGCAAAGGCCTTTTACTTACGTTTAAGATGTTGAAAGAGATGATCATTGATGTAACGCGAAGTCTCTGGCCCCCCATGCCCGTCATACACACCAACAAAAGTAACATAGGGACCGCACTCATGTGAACTCAAACAACCAGACTCAAGCTGGCTCTGATCCTCAAGTAAATTGTTGGCCTGAACCACTGCCATCGAGAACTCACCACTAAAGTGTTGCCCCGAGTCCTTGTACCACAAAAGCCCATCTTGGCGACCTCCAGCATCTGAGCTTGTGGGAATGTGTCGATCTGCCCTTGGCCGAAAACAGGCTCTCAAGAAGTTCATAAACCCAGATAACATCCCTCATCTCCTCCAAAAGACCCTCCAAATTCTCTACATGTAAATAAGCACTGAACACAACTAGGACTTACCTACTTTGCTTCTCGACGCGATACCGGAACACTACAGCAACACATACAACAAAGCACACCAAAAGGTTAACAATACTGCACTATGAAATTACAACTCAAAAGCAACCAAATCAAGCAAATCTCAAGCAGAAGTTAGTATCTTTCACTACTCCTCAAGCCTTGATAATAGAATAAACTTGATAACTATATAATCAACAGCTAGCAGAGTAATAATTATGTACAAGAAGCTCCCTTATTATAGATTGTTTCAGTGTAAAAGAGGAAAGTTGGTTCTTATAGAAAGCCATTATTATACCTCTGCTGGACAAATCAACAAAAACATGAAGGGCTTTTTAAAACAACAGAATCGGTCAAAGCACAATTTCCCCCCTAACAAAGTAGTTGGTCAGCCATTAGGATATCCAGAAGGTCTAAAGTTTCACATTGAGAACTTTAAACAAGAATGTTTCACATAACCCTTAAAACCCATCAATCATCATAATTCAACTCATGATTCCCACACTAAAAATTAATAAGAAAAAGAAGCTCACCTTTTTTTCTTTATTTGACCACTTTGACTTTAAACTCTGAAAGGAGGATCTGGAAACAGAAAAGGAAAAAGCTTCATGCGAGCTTCAAAACCAGAATCAGTAGATCTATGGATCAATCACGTCAAACGAGAGGAAAAACAAAAACAAAACTTGGGTTTTGGTTGGTTTCAGCTAGTGATGAGATAACTAGAGCGGAACAAGAATAGAACATAACAGAGAAATTGAAATGGATGAGTTTTTTACTTCATTGTTTTTCAAAAGGGAAGGTCTTTTTTATATGTAGGGGTTTGGCCCCAACAACATATAAAAAAATATATATATTTCTTTCCTTTTTCCTCTCCTATTATTATTATTATTATTTTCTCCCTCTCTCTCTCTCTCTCCCTCCCTCTCTCTCTCTCTCCCTCCCTCTCTCTCTCTCCCTCTCTCTCTCCCTCTCTCTCCCTCTCTCTCTCTCTCCCCTTCTAATTCTCAACAGACAAGACCCATAAAAAAACTAACAATGGAGAGCTAGAAGCCAGCAAAGCAGTGGTCCATCTTTGGGCTCCGCACCTTAATCTGGCAATAGAGGAGGAAAAAAAACTCAAAACTCAAACAAAAAAGAAGCCGATGAGTAATGGAGTCAATGGAAATCAAGTTACAAGGAAGATATATTACTTTTTTTCTCATTATTTTTTTAAAAATTTAATATATTAACCATAGATTAACTAGAAATATAAATTGATACGAAAAGAGTATTTTAAAAATAATAATGTAATATATTATTTTAGTTGATGTAGTCCGACTATAAGACACTCTTTTGATGAGTCAATCGATTATTAAAAATTATAAAATAATCATTCAATTATTAGTATATTTTAAAATCGTTATTTTTCGTTAAAAAATTAACATTTGTCCAAGTTGGAGATTAACTTGTCGACTTAGATATGATATAATCATATTTTAATGATGTCTACTGGCGCTGTCATTTTTTTAAGCACTGACTCACCAACATAATATTTTAAACACTAGTTCAACGACATAATATAAACAGATATTCAGTCTACAAAATATAACTAAAACGATTCTAGGATCATATTTAGTCATATCGCAGGCAATAAGTTACCATCCATCTCAAACGTTGCTAATTTTTTAACGAAAAATAACGAGTTTGGAATATATGAATAATCGGTGATCATTTTATAACTTTTATAATTAGAGGACTCAACAAAGTAGTGTCTAATAATTAAAGGATCACTTTATAACTTTTAATAATTAGATGACTCAACAAAACAATATCTTATAATCAAGGATAATTTGTATTTGTTACTCTTAACTCTTTAATTAATTACTCAAATTGCGTTAACAAACCCTAATCATATTCTTGTTATTTTATTGCATTACTGTCGTTTAGTGATGAGTATTGATTTATTATATTGAGTTGCGTTTGGTTCGCACAGAAAATTATTACTTAGGATAATAATTATTTTTAGAATTACATTCTTACGTTTGGTGTATAGAAAATATTATTATCAAGGAATATTATTTTTTCAATAATAACATTTTTTATTAAAATTATGAGAATATTTTTAGGTATTACACAATTTTCACCACTTTAGACAATAACATCCTTGGACTAATTAATTATTTTTATAATGATCCATATAAATTTTTATATTTTTCGTGGTTTACTCAAAATTATAAATATAATAATAATATAAAAAGAGTTTGATTTACTAAAATATTAATAAATTTAAGAATTTAAAAATATTTTATATTTTTAATATTTAATATTTAATATATTAATTATTTATAATTTTATAGGATAAAAATAATATTATTGTAAAAATATAATTATTTAAAATAATATTTAACTTTTAAAAAATTGATCTTATATATTGAAAAACAATATCTTTATCCACTCAATATCATAATATTATTTTTTTCATTATTATGTTATATCTTATATAAATAAATATGATACTTATGAAAATTGTTTTAAAAAATAGATTTAACATACTAATTATAGTAATTATATATTAAATGTATTTTTCTCAAAATTTAGATAATATAATGATTAAAATATTTTTATGAATTTTCATTCAAGTATTTATAATTTAATGTTAAAGTTTAACTTAAAAAAATACATCACAATGATAATTTAATAAAATATATATTCAAGTAATCTTATATTCATCTGGTCAAACGTTATAATCTTATACTCCTACTAATAATATTACATTTCAGTAATATTATTCTAAAAATAATAATATTACATTTCGTAAATCAAACTTCCCGAAAGATAGAAAGAACACTTCCACTTATAACTACTCGGATTACATCCAATAGAATTGTAATGGTATTAACCACACTTACATAAAACAATAGTACAGGCTCGAAAGGAATCTTGTTATTGATATCAATGCTACTCCATCCATCCTTAGTGGATATGTACTTTATTTTCATTGAATATGCACCATCACTTCACTTCAACTCCGAACCCCCACATTTCAGACAAATTCAGGTGGTTCTAATATGCGGGTGAGAAATTTAAAATTAATTTGTATTGGATTTCGATTTAAAATGATATTTTATCTGAAATTGTTAATAAATTCAATTATAATTGAAAATGTTATATAATAATATGTTTTAATTTAAAATATTATTATATATACTCTAAAAAGTTACAGAATTGATAATAATTTTAGTTACAGGCGAGAATGTTATATGAGTTATTTGAAAGTAAATTTTTAAGGTACAATGAGAATAGTTATGTAATTTACATGATTTACAATGGAGAATGTAATATTTTCCATTTTAACTTAAAATGTTACCAAATTTATTCTAAAGAGTTTTGCACTTAGTAAGTTTTTATGTTATAATCGATCAATTTTTTTAGCTTTACATTAACCGATTATATTTTTGAGTCCCGATAAATTTTGATTAAATAAGTTTACTGTATGTAAATTTATATATTTTTTAATCAAATGTATTTTATTTATGTCAGAAAATATAAAAAATAAAGTTCCAACATCCTTCACTTCAATAATTTTGATATTTTCCATAGAAAAATAGACCCTAACTGACATCATAACCCAGAAAACAAGTCAGCATGAAACTATGAAACGTATATCATATATTATAAGACTCATATTATCATCCACCCAATGTGCAATGCTACTTCTCCGATGGTGGAAATACTGTTGGGTCGTCCATTTTCCCATGTCAATTTTTAATATGATATATTTTTTATAATAAATTAAATTAATATATATTTAAATAATTAAAAAAATATGAATTTGATAAGATAATGACTTGACGTATAAAATGTTTGAGAAATTATTTTCTCAACTATGATTGAATGAACAGTGTATGAGGAGATGATCGGATCACATGGCATCTTAAGGAATATGTTTGATCTTTCTTATGCCGCATGTATTATAAATGCAAACTTTAGTAGAGTACTAACTCATAAGATACCGTATCTTCCAGACATCTTCTCAAAGACGTTGGGTGATTCGGTCGTCTTCCCCCAAACATTATCCATTCCATCCTATTTGAAAAATAATTTCCCATACACTACATATGAACTTTTCCCCCCACCATAATATCGAAGGAATTTTGTCTATTTAAATTCATGACTTTCAATATATTATATACTTATAATTATAATTTTTAGAAATTATTATTTAATTTTTAAATTCATGAACGGATCTATGTGACAAATCAAATTTGCATGGTTAAATAAAAAAATTTATGCACATTGTTTTAACTAACCAGTTGTATTAAAAATATGGTGTTGTCTAATATAATAAGGAATCTTTATCAACGACACTTTTGAATTTTTATCCTAGCTTTTATTCCAATGCATTTAATTAATTGATTGATTAACAGTTAAACCTGTTTGATTAACAATGACTTAATGCTTCTGGAAATGAGCTTCCCCTATTGTGTTGAGTGAAAATTATATTTTAATTAGATTGGATTAATCTCTATGTTGAATATTGGCTACAATGGTGGACGAAGTTGGGTCAAAAGAAAAAAGAGATATATCTCTTTACCTAACATTTAAATTAAATGCGTGAGAAAGGACGGTTCAATGTCTTTGATTTGACATATATATAGTTTTCATTTTAATTTGTTGAATCCCTACCTGGCCAAGTAACTATATAAACGTAATTTTTAATAATAACATAATTTTGAGTAAATACATTTAGTTGGTTGATTAAAGTGTTAATCTTTATTTTTTTATATTTTTTTAGATTATGGATCTTAGACCCACTACCAGCATTTTTCTTCCTTTCATCCAGAATTTTCTCTTCCTCTTCCCTATAAGTTAAGATTATGTTTAAAATTTATCAAAAATAAATAAAACTCCAAAAATGATAGATTTTTACATCTAAATTTAAAAGTAAAATGTGTAATTTTTATTTTTATTTTATTAATCTAAGGGCGATTATAATATAGTATTTGTTCGAAAGACTCTGAACCCATTTGACAATAATAACTCAAACGCCCCTAACATAAGATGTGCTCGTACCTGGGATCTCTAAGGATAATTACTATCCCTTCAACCGGCAAAATATATTAATGAAAATGATATTTTCATTCAATTCATTTATGTTGATTAAGTATTAGTTTAATTAATATAATTTTTATTATAAAATTTGTGTGATTGCAAGTTTGAGTGTGCTAAAGAGCTAAGAGTAATTATTTTTTGTTAAACTTGTAATTTGAGAGAAAATGAAAAATTATCTTATTTCCATACTCCATAAGTTTACAATCAGTATATATATATACACAACTATTCAATCTAACCACTTAACTAACTCAAAACCGTTTCTAACTAATCAATAACAAAAAAACAGATTACAAACTCAACACTCCCCCTCAAGTTGGATGTTGAAAAACATTTTCAACTCCTTACTTGGATAGCAAATAACTATGTTGTTGATGTCCCAAAGCCTTTGTCATGATGTCTGCAAGCTGTTCATGTGTGAAAACATGTTCTGTCTGAATTAAACCTTATTGTATTTTTTTCTCTCACGAAATGACAGTCGATTTCAATATGCTTTGTCCTTTCATGATACATAGGATTAGCTGCTATCTGAATTGCAGCTTTGTTATCACAATAAAGTTTCACAGGTTTCAAGCCTTTTATACTAAACTCTGCAAGTAAACCTTGCAGCCATACCAACTCAGAAGTAACCACTGCCATAGCTCTATATTCTGCTTCTGCTGAAGATCTAGCCACAACATTT